TTATTATATTAGTGTGTCTGACAAGAGGGTCTAGCCCAAGTATAGGAATTTGCATGTCAACAAGACTTTGTAGTGTACTGCTTCTCAAACTTCATAATGCTTAAGTAAGAGAGAAATAAGGGGGGAAGAAATAAAGGAATAGCCCCAAAAAGGAAAATAACAAATACACACAAGATATAATCATAGATGAAAATGAGTAGGAGGGAAGAGTAGAGATGAATAATTGGAAGGGGGAATCACCAGGGAATTAGGAAAAAGAACCAAGGAAGTCAAATACAGAAGGGATGAAAATAAATAAAATAAAAATTATATATAAGAAATGCATATAAATATGTATATAAATATAAAAATCATAATTTATAAATAAAATAATAATGTTTATCAAATGTGATTATATATTCATTTTATTGTAATATATATAAGCTTAAGTAACAGAAGTTAACGAGAACTAAGGTACTAATATGGTAGTAAAAGAAAAATTTGGTTTTGTAGACACATGAGGGGACAATATCTTGTATTATTTTAATATAAAAAGGAGTTTTAATATTCTTTGAATATAATAAAAACACAGATATACAAAACTCAATTTTCTCCAAATAACAGTGTGTGCTCAATGCCAAGGATAGAGGCCACAATAATCAAGCTCAATATGACACCAAATAAATTCAAATTTTCCATGTGGTGCTCACACTCTGTATCAAAGCTCTTAAGAGACTTCACATAGAATAAGGTCAGCAGCTGTCACATTAGAGAAAATTACATACCCTACATCAAACTCAGTCTAATATAATAATAGTCAGACAACATTTCTGAACACATGTAAGAAGGAAACATTACACAGGGAGGATAAGATTGAGTCCTTAAATTTCTTAATCAAGAACTTTGCTTCTTATGGGAAAGGACATCTATCTACAAAATTCATTGAGAAACTTCAACACAGACTATAGTCTGTGAGATTAGGTACACTTGCCATGGGCAACAGTTCCAATTTCTTGGTCAATGTCCAAGTCTTTGGCACTGGCTGATACTGAGCCTCACTTCCAATGTATGCTGATATTAGCAGTTGTACCAAAGTACATGTTTTGGATACTAAAATAAACAAATTTAACATTGATTCCCAGCTGCTACCTCTTCTTTGGCCAATGACCAGCTGCCAGCATCTTGAGTCTCCATTGGGCCCAGGGTTGCCAGAAAATCATGACTTAACAGTGGGTCTTACTTGTTCTCTCAAAAGTATACATAATTTATCAGCCTATGCCCTGTGTTGGTTGGTTCAAGGCATCTGGAAGTGTGATCAAGACATGCAACTGATATATGAGCTAACATTTTTGGAAATATTTCCCACGTGTAAATTCTCACCAATATTTTGATGATATGACAGACTCCAAAATTCTCTCATGGAAGGTCTTACACTCCCTGGGGAACAGAGATGGAATCATGTGGAGTTGGGGGTTGGGGGAGGTGGGTCTCAGAAAGGGCGGGAGGGTGATGGAAATAGGAGAAATGTGTAAAAAGTTAAATTAAAAATTATTATAAAATAATTCAGAGGATTTTTGAGCAAGTAGGGGATAAAGGCTCAAAAATAAAAATAAATCAAACTTTTGAATTTAATTTTGTTATATAAACCAAAGTCACTGATACATGGACAATTAAACCTCTTCCTAACCCACATGTTTTAAAAGGCATTACAATTCAGCATGGAATTATCTGCTTCTACTTATGTTAAAACTGAGACCTGACATAGCATTTTGCAACTTGATGCTCCACATTCACTGACAAAACCAGAAGCCCAATCTGTAAAATAATTGGAAAGGTTCCCATCATATTGTGTTTATAATGGTCATGATGTTTGTTTGCAGAATCAATGTCTGACATGTACTTCATCCATGAACTCAAACTTCAGTCCTACTAATGAGGGAAAATAACAACTGAAGACAGAAAGGAATAAAGAAAGAAAGAAAGAAAGAAGGAAGAAGGAAGTAAGGATGAAATAAGAAACAATGACAATCAAGTTGCAAACTGTAGAGTCTGCATATACTTCATGACCTGCATAATAGCATGGGCTTTACATGCATGCAGAGTCAGGGAATCTGACCCACCTGCATTTCTTGCCAATTTCCAGGTCCACATGTGAGTCTCTGAACCTCAGTCTGGACATAGACAGTGGCAGTTGTTGTTGATGTGTCAAATCCCTCTGGGCTATATTGGTTGTGAAATATTCCAGGCTTTTTGCTGGTGTGTAAACCTCGTCTTTTGGGTCTTAGTTGCTGATAATGGTCCTTTTTCTGAGAAACCGCGATGTGTTATCAGAAGGCACAAGCTAAGCTGAGGCCTGTAGGCTTCTCTCCACTGGCCTAGGCAGGTAGTTTCTAAGACAGTTGAGCAGAGAAAACTGTCTTATGTTATTTGCCTCAGACAAAAATCCTTGAAGGATGTTTCCCATGGCAACTGGCAGTTTAAAGGGGATAAACAATTTTGATTGTAGGAATCTTTACTTCCAAATACCTGTACTAACTTCCGGCAGGCCAAACAAAGAACTGGAGTTACAGTTGACTTCAAGAAGTGATCAAAGTTCTGGAGATGGGCTCCCAGTAAGTGTTATCTGCTGGCAAGTGAATTTCACAAGTAGAGCCTGATCTCCAATGGCAACTTGCTTCAGGAACAGGTTAAACGATAATGTCTGTAAGAAGCTTATCTTCCCAATAGCTGTGCACAAGTCTGGCTGTCCAAACGAATATCTGGAATGGCAGTTGGCTTCAGGAAATGATCAGTGTTCCAGAGTTATGCTCGTGATCAATGTTCTCTGCTGACATCCCAGAGGTGTGCTCATAATCAGAGTTCTTTGCTGGGATTCTAGAGTTGTGCTCACGATCATTGTTCTCTGCTGGCATTCTAGAGTTGCTCTTCCCATCAGTGTTCTCTGCTGGCATGGGCAGTTCGTTAGCATAGACGAGAGGCAGCATAGACAACCAAGCTCTGGGAATGAAGACAAATACTTTGGACTCCCTTGATCAGGGTGAAGTACACAACCTAATCTGGTGAATATTGCTAGAGGCCATGAAAATTTGCTTAGGTAAAGAATGAAATGTGAGAACGCAAAACTGCTGAATGTCATTAAACCCAACAGATAACAGGAAGATGCAGTTGAGCCTCTGAGTGTGAGGCCAGACTGACCTGCAAATAGAGTACTAGGTGAGCCAAGAATGCACAGAAATTCTCTGCTGAAAAGCTAAGTTAATAATAATAAAAATTATTATTATAATAAATATGACAGCAAAACAACACAATAATAATAATAATAGTAATAATAATAATGACAATGACAAGGATGCCTGGGATACTGCACTCTCACATGCCTGATATAAAGAGTTGGGACCTGATGCACACAGGTTATTTGTGTACAGTTAATATTAATGTGTCCAGGTCAAGTAAGCGCAGTTATAGAAACAAGCTTTTCTAAGTCAGTCTGACTATGACATTAATTAAATTGACAATATCTGTATTAAAACACAGCACGAGATCACAATCCAGCTCAGATGGGGCTTTACTGGGGAACAATATGACCTTAACATCTGATTACATTTTGATATTCACCTCACAGATCCTGCTGATGATGTGTGGCTATGTGTCCTTCTGAAAGAAGTTTTGGATAATGAGTAACTGAAGCTGGACAAAATCTTCACTTTTGAGTGAGTGCTGTTTGAATCATTCTAGAGAATATGTGTTACTTGAATTTTCAGACCTTAGAAGAGGATTCACAGTAAAACATGGTTGTTTGTAGTAACCAATTTAAACCATGTGCCAAACAGGAAACAAAAGCTGAAATGAAGTGATAAAAAGTAACTTTCAGGGCTAGAAAGATGACTAAAAAGAGCCTGTGCTTTTCACAAAATGCAACCAATTGTCAAGAATATGTCATGAACTGCTCAATGTTGTAAACTTTTGGATATCCTTTAAATATGAGTTTCTTTAAATTCACATTTGCTTCACACAATGTTTCCTCCAGGGTAAGCCAGTCTAATAAAATTTTGAGTGTCTGGAATGATGACTCAAGTTTTGGAGCATTGGCTCCTCCTGTAGAATTGGGATGAATTTCTTGCACCTAGATTGTAACTCCATTTGCAGAGGTTTATATTTCTGCCTCTGGTCTACAATAGCACCATGAAATTGTGTACTATACAGACAGGCATTTAGGGAAACATTTCAACACTAAATTGTAACATATGTTAAAATTTTTTCTGACAAAGTTTAGAGTACAAAAATAAATTTTTCATATTTTTATATAGCAAAACATACAATTATGAAAGGGTGACCTTAATTGTTCTTGAAATGCTCTGATCAGTTTCCTACACATATTTGTGAAATAAACCATGCTGAATGAAAACAAAATAATGAAATGATACTGGTATGTGCTTATATATTGGAGAGGAGAAGGTTTACTGTTAGATATGAAGGAGAAATGCCAGATGCCTCTAAACATGTCCAGAATGAAGCAACAAATGAGAGGATGTGGGTGTAGATACTTGAAAAGACAAGGATGAGGAACCAAGAGGCCAGGAGCCTGAGAGACCCCAAAATCCAAAGTGACTGAGGCTATGTAATAATCACAGGATAGGGGAAGGAAATTGGAACTCAGTTGTTGGAGTGGTTAAAAATGTGGTCACAGGTTAGGAAGTGCTGAGGAGCCAGTACTCTGTTACAAGGGAACAGATATTAGAAATGTTGAGAAAAACTTTGGCCAGTATCCCCTTTGGAATATTAAAGAGGCACCTCAGTCATTTATGTTTGATTTTTGAATTAGCAGAAGTATATTCTGAATCTTCCTGGTGGCTTCTTGTAGGACTGCTGATATACAAATTGGGTGAAATGACCTAGGTTGTTAAAACCAGAAGAGTTCTATGCGTTTTTTCTAGAATCCTAAAGGCCCCTTAGAAGTCATGGGGCTTCATTCAGGCACTCTCCATAGAGGTTGATGCCTGTTCTTGGGAGTCCACCCCTGAAGTCCATGAAGGAGTCTCATTTGTAAAGGGGCACATCCTCAAGTTGGGCACAGTGGCAGCATAAAAGCAATCTGAAGATGGGATTCACAATGCTGATAAATCTGCTTATTTTTAGTCAGGATTTTAATATTAGTAATTCAATAATTACTAACAATTTAGTGATGAGTTCATGTCAGAAGATGTGAAAATATATACTTGGGGAAGCAGTTAATTGAAATAAAAAGAATACAATTACTGCAAATTACCGGTAGTTAGAAAGCATAATCTTGGGTTAGTCTTTATATTTTGCTTCCTCAAGGTGAAGAGAAGGGCCATTGATTTTTTTGCATAAAGAAATGAATCCACTTTCAGTACATGATAAAATCTTACTAATATTGGTGATTTAGTAAACAATATATTTGATATCAGTAAGGCTACCATTACATTTTATATGATTGAAACTGAAGAGTAAGAAAATGTTTGAAACCAAATGATTGACTTTATGAAATTTTGAGTATATACTTCAGGATAGGAAGATCAAGGTTCACTTTGTGAAATGTATCTATAGTCCATAAGGGAAGTAATGAATAGATAATACCAGAGAGATGCACCACATTCTCAGCTTGAATAAATACATAAATTGCAACTTGGGAAATCCATGTGATTATAGTGGGGTCTCTAAATGCAATTTCTGTTTTTCTTTTTAGTCAACTCTCTAGTTATTCGATATTACATGAAAACATGATTTCTTAGGAAAACAACAAATTCTTTTTGTGTATGTCACTCATAAAATAACTAAAGTGTGTGTGGTGTGTGTGTGTGAATCTACTTCAACATTCATACTAATTTTATCATGCAAAATGAGTGAGGCCTTGCCAACCTCTTTCTACGAGGCTTCAATAACCTTGATCCCCAAGCCACACAAAGACACAGCTAAGTAAGAGAACATCAGAGCAATATCCCTCATGGCCATTGATGCAAAGATACTTAATAAAATACTGGCAAATTGGATCCAAGAACACATCAAAACAATCATTCACCACGAACAAGTAGGTTTCATCCCAGTGATGCAGGGAGGGTTCAACATATGAAAATCCATCAACGTAATCCACCATATAAACAAGCAGAAAAACAAAACTCATATGATCATCTCACTAGATGCTGAAAAATCCTTTGACAAAATCCAACACCACTTCATGATCAAGGTCTTGGAGAGATCTGGGATAACAGGAACATACTTAAACATAATAAAAGCTTTATATAGTAAACCAATAGCCAATATCAAACTAAAAGGACAGAAACTAAAGGCAATTCCTTCAAAATCCGGAACAAAAAATGATGTGAACTCTCTCTATACCTTTTCATCATTGTACTTTATGTTCCAGCCATTTCCATACAACAACAAAAGGGGATACAATTTGGGAAGGAAGAGGTCAAATTTTCACTGTTTGCAGATGATATGATAGTTTACATCAATGACCCAAAGACCTCTACCAGGGAAGTCTTACAGCTGATTAACACCTTCAGCAAAGTGGCAGGCTACAAGATCAACTCAAGAAAATCAGTAGCCCTACTGTATACAGATGATAAAATGGCTGAGAAAAAAATCAGAGAAACATCACCCTTTACAATTGCCACAAACAACATAAAATACCTTGGGGTAATGCTAACCAAACAAGTGAAAGACCTGTATCGCAAGAACTTTGAGTCTTTAAAGAAAGAAATTAAAGAAGCCCTCAGAAAATGGAAAGATCTCCCATGCTCTTGGATAGGTAGGATCAATGTAGTAAAAATGGCAATCCTGCCAAAAGCAATCTACAGATTCAATGCAATCCCCATTAAAATCCCAGCACAATTCTTCACAGACCTTGAAAGAACAATAGTCAATTTTGTATTAAAAACAAAAGACCCAGGATAGCCAAAACAACCCTGATCAACAAGGTAATGTCCAGAGGCATCATCATTCCTGACTTCAACCTCTATTATAGATCTATAGTCCTGAAAACAGCTTAGTATTGGCACAAAAACAGACAGGTAGACCAATGGAATTGAATTGAAAACCCTGATATTAACCCACACACGTATGAACATCTGATCTTTGACAAAGAAGCTAAAAATATACAATGGGATAAAGAAAGCATGTTCAACAAATGGTGCTGGCATAACTGGAGGCTGGCATGTAGAAGAATGCGGATTGATTCATGTTTAACACTATGCACAAAACTTAAGTCCAAATGGATCAAAGACCTCAACATAAATCCAGCCACACTGAACCTCTTAGAAGAGAAATTGGGTGGTACCCATGAACGAATTGGTACTGGAGACAGCTTCCTGACCATAACACCACTAGCACAGACAGTGATATCAACAATTAATAAATGGGACCTCCTGAAACTGAGAAGCTTCTGTAAGGCAAGGGACACAGTCAGCAAGACAAAAACGCAGCCCACAGAACGGGAAAATACATTCACTAACCCCACATATGACAGAGGGTTTATCTTCAAAATTTACAAAGAACTCAAGAAGCAAGTCTACACAACACCAAAGGAGCCAATTAAAAATTGGGCTGCAGAACTAAATAGAGAATTTTCAATAGAGGAGTCTAAAATGTCTGAGAGGCACTTGAGAATGTGCTCAACATCCTTAGCCATCCAGGTAATGCAAATCAAAACAACTCTGAGATACCATGTCCCTCTTGTCAGAATGGCTAAAATCAAAAACACCAATGACAATTTATGTTGGAGAGGATGTGGTAAAAAAGGATCACCCCTCCATTGCTAGTGAGAGTGCAAACTTTTACAGGCACTTTGGAAATCAGTATGGAGAATACTCATAAAAATGGGAATAAACCTACCAAAGACCCAGCAACTCCACTCTTAGGCATATATCCAAAATATGCCCATTGATACAAGGATGTCTGTTCCACTATATTCATAGCAGCATTCTTTGTAATAGCCAGTACTTGGAAGCAACCTAGATATCCCTCAACCGAAGAATGGGTAGAGAATATGTGGTACATTTACACAATGGAGTCCTATTCAGCAGAAAAAACAATGGAATCCTGAGATTTGTAGGCAAATGGATGACACTAAAGAAACCATCCTGAGCAAGGTAACACAGTCACAAAAAGAGAAACATGGCATGTACTCTCTCATATATGGATTTTAGACATAGATCTAGGGAGTGCCAGCCTGCAATCCCATGGCCAGAGAGTCTGGAAAACAGAAACTTCATTCAGTGGCTGATGGAAGAAGAGGCAGACTCCCATGGCTAAGCACTGAGCTGAACTCAAGAAAGCCAGTAACAGAGAGGGAGGACTAATGACCAAAGGGCTTAAGACTGGGATGGTTTAACCCCCAGAAACAGATGACCTGACTTGACAAGGATTAACTCTTGAATCCCAGGCTGATGCCTGGCAATGCAGCGTGGGGCATATCAAGACCCCCTGAATGGGGGTGTCATTGAGGAGGCCTAGGTAATCTATTTAGCCTTGGGCAGTAGATCAGTATTTATCCTGGGTATACAAATGGACTTTGGACTCCCATCCAACAATGTGAGATGCACTCTCTCCCTGAACTCTTGGGAGAGGGTCTAGGCCCTGCCCTTTATGAAATGACAGACTATGGACAACCCCATGGAGGACCTCACCCTCCCTGGGGAAATGAGGGTATATTGGCGGGGATTGGTAATGGGCACAGTAGGAAGGTAGGGAAACGGAGAGGGACCTGGAACTGACTTGTGAAGCAACCTTGTTTCTAATCTAAATTTAAACTTAAAAATAAATAATAAAAAGTGAGAGAGACCTGTGCTAGTAGCAATGAGGTAGTGGAGCAATTTTTTGTGCTCAGGTGTTAAAGGCCATCCTGAATCACATGACAATATCTCTCAGTAAAATTCAACAATAATTCAGCAAATAAATAAATACCTTATGACTATTATTTTTAACTTTAAGATATTATGGTTATATTTTAAAGCATGTTATCAGATACAGCTGGCTGACCTAGAATTAATTTTATACCTAACCATGTCCTTCACATATTTCTGCTCCCTATTCAGACAGTTGGGATACAGGCCTCAACCCTCTTCACACAATTGTAATTCTGTAATACAAATTTCATAATAAACCCCCAAAAATCATAATTCAGAATGACTAATCAGAACTGTTACCTGTGTCCTACACTTGCCTTTCGCTATTCCAAAATTGGATTCATTTAGAACTCCAAATACACACTATAAAGACTATTGGATATTTTTAAATAATTTAAAATGAAACTGAAAACCTCTTGAAAATATTCCTTACATTTTTAGATCATCGTTCTTAACTTGACATGTATATTGTAATGTGTGTGTGAGGAGTGATTGTTTACATAGGAAGCTGCCCTATTCACTCTGGAAATGCTTTTTAACTCA